GAAAGGTGCGAGGAATTCTTGTCTGTGGGTTGATCTCAATCAAAACATTCTTCTCTGTGTGAATGTACACTTGCAGCAGTCCAGCTCTATTCAAAGGACTGTCCAGTAACATCAGCAGGCACTGTGGGTAAGCAGACGTGACATTCAGGGGACAGATGTGGTACAAATAAAAATCTCAGTGTCAAAATCATTAGAAGATGGCTTGTTTTCTTCTTTTAACCTTCATAATGCATTCAAAACCTGCATACCATTTGGACATCGTGGAATGTACGTTTTTTTTTAAACGGTCATACCTTTGTATTTTTCAACTAAAACCATATTGTATCTGATTGATAACTTCTTACTAATGATGAGTAAATGTGCAAACATGTCAGTTTTGACTGATAGAGTGATATATTACCATGTAAATACATTTACACCCTTTTTAAAAATCTTTACAATTTGAAACTGTTACATTAACAACAGAAAAAAAAACACTAATGCAACAAAACAAAAGCAGAAATTTCTCAATTGACAGGAAAATACTCTGAGTAACGAACAGTATCAACTGGTCATGCGGCAATGTTCACCAACACAATTCAGTCCCAAAAGTGTGTGTGAGATATAGAAAATGGGACACAAACCCATTTTTTGAGAAACCCTATTTTTGAGACAAACTCATTTTTGAGACAAACTCGTGTGTGTGTGTGTGTGTGCACACGCACACACGAGTTTGTCTCAAAAATAGGGTTTCTCAAAAAATGGGTTTGTGTCCCATTGTGTGTCCCATGTGTCCACACACACACACACACACACACACACACACACACACACACACACACACACACACATATATGAGAGAGTCTGCTGCATCCAAATTGACAACAACGCAAAAGGTGTAACGTTAACTTTATTAAAATAGTGGGATATCTTAAATAACTTTAAAACCTATGCTTTACTAAAACTATAGAAATTGTATGTGAAAACTAACAATTCATTTCAAACACTGGAGAGCTTTACCTGATGTGTGATATCAGGACGAATCTTCCCTGGGTCTCTTCCACTCTTCAGAATCATACTCTTATGCTGATCACAGTTCAACAACTCAAATGTCTTTCCAACCTGAACAAAAACACGTTCACATTTAAATGCTAAAACATACGGTTATGAGAAATATTATTAAAGTTTATTATCTACCGAGCCTCCTTGTCTTTTACCTTTACGGTTTCAAGTGTCGCTCCTTCTAAAACAACAACAAGACGCTTTTCCGTCATCTGATCGTGCAGACTTTTTAGGTGTTTTGCCGGTTTTGGTTCATATTCATCTAAATGCTTCAGACCACGCTTTTCTCCAGCGCGAGCAGCCATGTTGACACAGAACTACTACGACACATCAAATGTACGTCACAACAACGAGTTTGTTCAGAGTGGCGCACGCTGATGACGGCCTCTCTCAGTCTCTACATAATTAAAAATGTCTCTGTAAAATACTACACTTGACCACCAATTAAATGACATTATGTTATTATGAAAACAATAATACATTTATAAACACAATTTTAAACAACAAAAATGTCAAGAATCGTCGATGCTTGCTAGTGTCATAATAAAAAAGAGCTTTCATGATACACTCTTAAAAAGAACACATTCCAAAACACAATTCTGCGTTTCTTCCAAATTTAGTAAGTTTCACATTTAAGATTGACATTTATGATACATTCCGACTTCAGACCTCAAACTGTATTTACACTGGAGAGAGTACAGGTACATTCATCATCATTGACTGGAATTTCTTTTAAGAGGTGAAATGCACTCCTTCCTTGCTCAAACTTAACATAGTTCTTGTAGTAACCAGTTTAACTGTGGTATTTACAGTAAGACTATAGTTACCACATATTAAACCAGAGTAACTTTATAAACAAACAAGGAAATACTGCGTTGTAAAAATGCATGCGATTTCTTTCCTCCCATAATATATTATTTTGCACGAATTTCCCCCAAGTTCTGTAAAAGCATGATACATTTTCAAAGTGTTATGAGAGATCATATCCACCAAGCAGCTTTTAACTGTTCGTCACACTGTACATCACTTATCAAACGTAATAATATTGCATAGATGTACTATATGTGACATTTTTAAACCCATCCAGTGAATATAAAAAAGTTAGTGATCTCTGGATTGACTTTCTCCAATTTTCACTAAACACTGAGCAGCTCCAATGGTTCAATAATCCCAAACCAGCTCCAACAGGTCCTCCCAGATTCAGTGCAGCGTTCGGCTCTGGCACATCTCATGAGAAGAACTCTGAGATTTATTCAGGCAGGTCAGCGGTTTGGGGCACAAGCCTGAGTCCGAACACAGGACTGTTACCAGAAATGAAGGTTCAAAGGGCATGAACTCCCGGTAAGGGTCAGCGTCACACGTTACCTGTAACATTTGATTTGAATGTTTGATCAGCACACATGCTTGAGTGTCTAAGTAATTCTCTTTGAGATGTTCTCTGTACCTTAGTAAAGGATGAGAGGAACAGGTGAATGTCAGAGAGGCCTGATAGAGATGAGTCCGTTGGATGTCTGGTGAAACTCATCTCATAAGCCTGTAAGGAACAAATATGGAATATAAAAGTTTGACAAAGACAAATGTTGGGCTACCAGAGCAGAAATGATCTAATAGGGGTCCTTATGAAGTGCTAGGGGGTCTGTTGAAAAGTTTAAAGAAAAACAGTGGGAAATGAAAATGTAAAATGAAAACCAGATTTGAATAAATAAATAAATAATACATTTAAGATTAGAGTTCTATAATTAGTAGAAAAACAACATAGTACTACTTAATACCCAGATAATAAAACTAGGCTATTTTCTTATATATTTTTTCAAACATGCTTATTAAATTATGAAAACATTATTTTCTGAATATTTACAAACTTCCAGGATTTTTAGTTTTAAACCTTTTTTTATTTTGTTATGCAAACATTAAGGGAATATTCCATTTTTCCCTTAATGTTCCAAACTTCCCTGTTAGCTGGGCAGAAACAAAAAAATATATACAAACAAAATAAATCATATTTTTTCATGTAATAATAATTAAATTAAATAATATTTTTTATTATAATAATATTTAAAAAAAAAAGTTACAAATAATTTTTGAAACCATTTAAGATGCCTGTTAAATTTTAGTATGGGGTGATCATATTTAGGGGTCTGTGGACTAGACTACAGTGAGTTAACTTACATCCAGTGCCACCTGTAGAGCAGAATACTGCACCCAAACCTCCTGCTGTTTGGAGGGGGGAAGGGAGAATGTGCCAGCCTGTCCTGGATACTTGGTCACATTCAGATAATGAGACAACACACACATACTCTCTGACTCTGGATTTTTGGCCTGTGTGTGGACTGGTGATGAGAAACACAGGAGGGAATTAAAAAAACTCAAAAACACATCACATATATTCATATTGAAATCCATACTGACTTACTATCAGGAAGGAGAAGGTGGAGAAGATCTTTAGCCATCAGAGATCCCAGTGTCCCATAATTCAGTGCCCTAGAGAATATTGTAATTTATATCATGGTCTGTCTGAATACTTGATTCTGATTGGCTGAAAGGTGTGCAATACTGTTTAATGCACAGGTAGTTCCAAGTCAGTTAAATCACTGGTCTATGTTAACGCTTTGCTTTGCACACACGCATACGTCACACATAGGAGTACAGAAACTTGTTTTCAATGTTACTGTTTTTAAAGTAATTAAACTCACAGTTGCAGGTAATTCACACGCATCCCTCTCTCTCTCTTGATCAATAGTTTAATTAAATCAAATAAATGTTATAATTAATTTTTCAAAAAGTTATTTGCCTCCACGTCGTGCATTAAAATCGTTTAAAGCACAGCTAGTTGAGGATTATTCCTTATGTAAACATTTTTATCAAACTTTCGTACATTCATATTTATGCATCATACATCATCATATAAAAACTAGAATGGAGTGGAGGATGAGGAATAATCAGAGTAACATTATAAAATAATATATTAACATTTTTCTAACAGCGGTGCAAAGCATTTCAGTATATACCCAAGTAAAATTTTTACAGTTGAATGAATATTCTGTTTTTATGTTGTAATAAGATACCTGGGATATGAGGAATGGAAGAAAGGCAAAACAAACATTCCAACAGGGATGATGATGTCATTGCCAGAGATGGATGGAGTGATAGACAAACTAGAGAAGAGGAAAGACGGGAATGTAAAATGGATGATGATGGCATGAATTGAATAGTATCAATGCATAATAATTGAATAATCAATGCATGCATTTCACTTTTCAAACAAAAACTCTTTAATCAAAATGTCACTGCCAGTGAAATGATAGACTTTTCCAATCATTTAGTCTGCTTAAACCCGCAATCAACCTCAATCTCTCATTTCAAGCTTCCTCCATCCCTACAATAACCAATGGAAAGATTTAAAGTTTTTAACATCAGTAAATATCAGACTTTAATATCAGAATAGGAATAACCCAAGTAAAAAAGGATATGAAAACTAAAATTTGACATTCAGGTTAAATTATTTGAGTCTTTTGAAGATAAACCCCATTTGCATAATCCATAGATATAAAATTATATGTGCTGAAAATACATGAGCCTTATAATGTTAAATTTTAAAAAATTGAAATGTTTATTTTGGGGGGAAGGGGGAAAATAAATATACTAGTTAAGAAATAAAAGTAAAACCTTTATATAAACATACAAACAATAAAATCGTATAAAACATATTTTATAAAACAATAAATAAATAAAAAAGTATAATATATTCACTGTTATAAACAACGCATATAGTACGGAAGCGTATTGCATTCACTTGAGGAAACAAAATCTACTCTATTTTTCTGAATTAACAAGTTAATTATCTCAGAATTACAAGATCATTTTTCATGGAAAAAAGTTTTTGCTCTGTTTTTCTGAATAAACGAGTTAATTATCTCAGAATTACGAGATAATTTTCCATGAGATAATGAAAAAAGTTTTTGCCTTGTTTTTCTGAATAAACGAGTTAATTATCTCAGAATTACGAGATCATTTTTCATGGAAAAAAGTTTTTGCTCTGTTTTTATGAATTACCGAGTTAATTATCTCAGAATTACAAGATAATTTTTCATGGAAAAAAGTTTTTGCTCTGTTTTTCTGAATAAACGAGTTAATTATCTCAGAATTACGAGATAATTTTCCATGAGATAATGAAAAAAGTTTTTGCCTTGTTTTTCTGAATAAACGAGTTAATTATCTCAGAATTACAAGATAATTTTTCATGGAAAAAAGTTTTTGCTCTGTTTTTCTGAATTAATGTGTTTTTGAGATAACATAGCAAAAAACCGAGCACATTTTTTTCCATGAAAAATTATCATGTAATTCTGAGATAATTAACTTGTTAATTCAGAAAAACGGGGAGAGTAGATTTTGTTTCCTCAAGTGAATGCAATACGCTTCCGTAATATAGTACTGTGTATTTAAACTGTGATTTTAAGAAGATTACCCGAAATCCCTATTGTGACAAAACGTTACCTTAAATTTTATTGTTAACGTGCGAGCACTCACCCTTCAGCCCGTGTGCCGTGTGAGAGCAGTCTACACCTGCTCTTCCGCTCCAGTACCAGCATCTGCAGATAGTTGGAGAAAAAATCCTCCTCTTTCAAAACCACCTAGTGCAAAGAGGAGGAGAAACACAGCGAATGAAGAATATTTCATTCACTCATCCGACTACACTGCTTGTTCATTTATTCTTCAATCTTCAAATGAAGCTACCTCTGCATAGAGATGGTTGAGTTCAGTATGATTGAGGTTATTAGTTTTAGTGGAGAGTCTTGGATTCAGAGATTTTATCTGAAAAACACACAAGATTATCAGAACGAAATCCATCCGCAGTTTCATTTTGTATGTGATTCGCAACATACCTTATTCAAAATAAAGTCTGATTTGTTGTCCCTCCAGCTCAGACCTATTAGTTTCTTCTTGAGGGATGAATAAACATCATGGATCAACTCTTCAGCCTGGCAGAGAGAGAAAAACACGTGTCATTGCTCTATTAAATACATGTCCATGCATAATCAATCCTTTATTTGTTCACAAGGTCCAACCAAAACGTACCTCTTTCTGTGCATGTCGTTCTCTAATTGCATGACTAAGTAAGGCATCAAATCCTCGCTCTGTCTGCTGAACACATCGCCACCAGCGAGGCATCTCCTAAAATCATAGACATTATAAGCAAATGAAATTGCAGTCTGAACTGCTTCACTTCACACAAATAGGCTTTGTGGGGAATGAATCCAATGCCGACCCACCTCCTGAGTGTCTCCAGTCGCAATGGAATAGTTTCTCATTGTTTGGAAGAACCTCGAGTCCAGCGCAGGTACGAGTGTTT